ACTGCTCATTTTCTTTTACAACCCATAACCAAATGAGCAAGAAATGTGATGTTTGTAATATATCAAGACTATGACTTCCATTGTTACTCCTCTGGTCTGAGCCTGGACCAGGCTGACATCTTGTCCAAGCTACAACAACCTCTTCTTTGCTCTCCCGGTTCCTCCATACTCTCCTACAATCTACTCTCAATAAGTCAGTCAGAATGATCTCTTTAACATAAAGTCAGATCATTCTGAATCTCACTGCCTCGCTCTCTCTACTCTTTCCAGATTTACCATACCCCTAGTTGTTCCTTAAATACACAAGGCAGAATCTCATCTTAATGCCTTTGTGCTTGCTCTTTGTCATGTTCTTTCCTCAGATACTCATTTCCTTTCCTTCAGGGCTTTGTCCAAAAGAAGACAATACTGGCTAACTTATTTAAAATTACCTTCACCCTCCACACCAGCACACCCAAGCCTCCATACTCTGTTTATTTCTCATCTTCTTATACCCTCTGAATTTAGTTGTTTATTGTGTTTATTGTCTACAATGTGTCTCCACACACTAGCGTATAAGCTCCAGAAGGGCAAGGATTTTTTAATTGGTTTTTTTTTTCACTGATGTATCTCAGGGGCCTAGAGCAGTAATCTAATCAGTACGGAGTAAGGACTCAATAAACATTTGTTAAGTGAATAATAAATCAGATAGAAATGTATAAGCATGAAGGAAGAGCATTCTGGAATATAATCCCCTTTTAAAATCTTAAACATACTGACAGTGATAGCAGTCATTTTTATACATATCTAATTAGGAAAAAAATCAGTCTCTATGTTCAACAAATGACCAAATAAACCCTAAATTTATGGAAAAGGCTCTTGAATGAATTCAATATTATCTCAGGTAAAGACTACTAAGCAGAGTGTGTAAATGTTAAACACTTATGAAAATCAGGAATAAAATTCTCAAGGAGTCAAGAACTGTACCACAGCCATCTACAGAGATTGTAATTTTCTATACAATAAAATTGGGGTAAGTGAAAAAAGTGAGTTAACTTATGCAGAAACGAAAATTAATTCTGTATTCGTCTCACAAGAGCTATGCAAATTATAGTCAAAGTACTGGAGAAATACAAAGCTAAACAACTCTAGGGTATCCGTAAGCCAATCAATTTGCTGTGGATTCTCCGGGTCTCTTGTTCCTCTTCTCATGTTTACTGCCTAATATTTGACCACTTTACGGGTTGTTGGCAACTCTCATAAGAGAGTGAACTAGAGAAGCAAAATGAAACATAAGCAAATTAAAGCTACTCCTGATAGCAGCCAGGAGGAATACGCTGGGATCTTTGTCTGGACAGTGAGAAAACGTGTACTATTTAAAAGTATTCACTAAAATGTGTACTAAGCATGTTTTCTGGAAATCAGTTGCTAACATTGGCTTGACCCAATTCAATAAGGTGAGCATTAAACCCATCTAAAATAGAGTCAACTGATAGAATAAAAAGAATTCACGATATATTTGAATGTGCAAAAGCAAGCAGGAAGAAAAGGAGGGTAAAGGGGTGGAGACATACAAGCCTCTGCTGTAGAAATCATCTACAGGATGTAATTTAACATAATGGAAATGCATCTAATATAAGCAAGAACTAGGGCCAAACCTGACTCCACCCACTTACTAGCAGTAGAAACTGGGTCAGAATGCTTAACTCTGAGAACCTTCTTTCAAATTTGTAAAATAAGGACAGTCATATACTTTCTTCATAAAGTTTGGTGATGAATTATGTCAGTCTCTACATCCAAATTCCAGTTTCTATCACATGTTGCCTGCCTATTTGGCCAAGTGCTGACAGTTATCTCATTTTAAGCACTCATCCTTTCTTTCAGTTTTTCAAGGATAAAGCCCTGAAGAAATATCTACAAGAGTAGTTAACATATGGCTAAAACTATCATGGGAAATTTAAAAAGATGGATTAAAAAGTGCAACTGGGACCTTTTGTAAATGAGAGGCAGCCTATTGGTAAAAATATGTTTTTTTCTTCAATTGTATAGGAAAAATAGTATAAAAGCTCTGTTTAAAAATTACAGCAAAGCATCTTTTGGAGGAGGGAGAAGATGTTCTTCCTTTCATACAGATTAAAGTGCAGAAAATGCTTTGTTCTTTGTAAACTTACTTGAACATAAGTTCTATGGGAAGAGAGATCTTTGTTTCATTCATTACTGATAGTGCATATAATAGGCAATTAAGAAACAGATTTGAATGAATACAGCATACACAGATTGGCACAAGGGTGGTGGTCCATCTGCCTCTGCAGATGACCATACACAATTAAAAAAAAGAGATAAATAATAAGCCAGAATTTTATTAGCACCTAGATAAAATGCAACACAACTATTTCTATACTTCCTAAACTTCCACAATTCTGTTGAAGAACTCAAAGTCCATATGCAGTATAGATATTAGCATATGCATAAATATGAAATAACTAATATTTTTTGAACCAGGAAAATATGATTTCCTGAAGTGAATAGACCCTTCACGATAGAGAAGGAAAAAACAGCTGAAAGTTTGGGGGAAAAAGTTCTATTCCTATGCTTAAAAGTCAAGCTCTAAACTTTGATTTTGTTTATTTTTTAAAAAAACTATTTATATAGAAAATTACATTTAAATTATTTATTATTTAGATGTTAGGATAATATACAAAGAGCTAATAAACAGCATAACTTAGTTATAATAATATATTAAATACCAAAGTGAACAAATGTTTTAGAATTCTTAATATGAAAACACAGTAGATTTGGACTATAAACCACAGACTGATGTAGGTATCTATAGATCTTGTCCTCAGGCTAATTATAAAGTAGTTCAAAGTTTGCCAAAGCAAATAGCACAGCCTACATACTTCTTTGCCAACTCTCTCATAAAGCAGATGGAACCAACCATCGAAAGAACCATGAAAAAGAATTTTTTAATGAATCCATTTCTTTCTGAAGTTGTATGAGAAGAAGGTCACTTTCTCACTGACTAGCTTACCTTTTGATGTCCTTATCAATTTTTAATTGTACACATTTTTATGTATTATGCTATATTTATGCATTCTTCAATGGCATCTTTATTTATGACTTTGTGAATCAACATCTTTGTGATAGGAGGCAAAAGTCACTTAGCTAATTACACGTGCTTGATAAGCTGCATAATAATAACCACTGCAGTACTGTACATTAGTTGAAAGCATATAAATTACTGCAGTTATTCTCATTTGGGAAAAAACAAGAGACTCTTTTAGTTATCTAAAACATCTTTGTTGCCTCCATATCCACCTTCTTAAGTATACTATTCCTTTAACCCAAATCATGACATTAATAATAAAATAAAGGTTAAATTCCATTCTATCAGTCTGACCAAAGAAATAAGAACAAAAAGAAAACAAAATTCAATTTAATGCAAATACTTCTGATCTGCAATTGAGGATTTGGTGATATGAAGCTTCTTCCACATAATGCAATCCCAGTGAAAAAAAGCAGTTTAGACGTTCCCCACCCCACAAGAATGTTGTAATGAAATCTGACTTGGTCCAGCCAGGAGATTAGAAATGCACAGAGAGAGAGATAATGTACAGAACTGGAATATTAATATGACTTCTGTATGAAGATTGAAAATTCTACAAAGTTATAATAAGGTCAAAATAACACAGACAATTTACTGCCAGAGAAAATCATACTCTCCTATGAGTGATTTACTAGATGTTCTATAAAAATGGAGTGTGGACAAGCTACATTCAGATGCAAGCCTGCAGCTGTCAGTGTCTACATTTGCTCAATCTGGCTAGAGGATGCTTTGAAGGTTGATTTAATTGTAGCTTCTGAATCATGTTCTTCCCTATGCTTTAAATTGTTTAACATAAATATAAAAATGTTAAAGCAATTTTAAGACTGTAAATATTTAGTATAAAAAGCTGCAAAATCTCATTTTTTTCTGGAAGAGTGACTGAAAACAGAAAGACTGTCTGGGAAAAAATACCATTACTTAATAATGGTAATTGCCCAACAGTTATGGAAAATTTACCCTTACATGAGAAAGTTCATAGGGTGTTCAGAAGGAACTAAGGACAAACAAACAAAACACTAGGTTTGTGACTGAACTGATCAATTTTAAGAGAAACAGGAATCTATTATCTGTAGAAAAGGGTTCAGAGATCAAAGCTGAACAGCTGGGAAGGCAGCATCTTTGGGTTCCCTGCAGGCAATGTAACAACCTAACTATCTTTTTCTCTATACACAAACTCAAAGCAGAGATTCAACTCCTGTCCATGCCACCAGCGCCAGCACACAGGGCATCACCAATGAGCTTTGTCAATGTCATCTACTCAGCTAGAGCTCTCCTCAACCATCTTTCTATTCTTTGACAGCCTTCAATAAATTCCAAATATCGCCTAACCATTCACTTCCCAGCGTCAGCAAATCATCCTTAGGGAGAATATCTTGTTCTTCCTCTGCAAGCTGTTTCCCCCATTTTTTATTTTCACTTTTATACATACCTCCTTTTCTACATATTTTCTTGCCGGGTTTTCTGGCACATTCCTTGGATATTCTTTTTACTGAAAAATGAATAGAAGACTAGAAAATAACATGGCGCTCCATCACAGACCGCCGGAACATGCAACACCACTATCTAACTTAATACGCTCCTGCATTTACTGAGTGCGAAAGATCCCCAATTCGGTGAGCCTGCACATGCAATGGAGAAATGTTGATGCATCTTCTCAGAAGTCATTCGGTAGGAAATGGAAATTAGGAACCCATTTCTACCTAAATATACGTGCTGCAGAGGAAAGAAAATGAGTAGGCACAGGAAAAAAATAAGAACGCCAACACACATAAACAAAAAGAGCTGCATGCACACATGTAAAATATGTCTACATGCCGACAGGAAAAGCCATGCATGCTACCAGTACACATGAATTAATATTGTTAGAATAGAAAAATATAAATATATCTCCCTGTTTTTCCTGTAGTAAACTCACCATCCTCAGTTGGGACGTATATATTTAAATACAGGCAATCTTCACTCTGGTCTTGTACGTACGATGAAACCACATCCAAGTTATTAGTAAACCACACAGGAAGCATGACTTCTGGCAATCTGCCATCAATGATATTCTGGGGACACACAGGAGCAAACTGAGTAGCATTCCTGATATCTGACCAAGGAGATGGTGGTTCTGGAGGCTGAAAACGATGTTCTCCTGTTGGCGGGGCTGCATATGGAATGCCAAGAAACTGAATAACTGGACCCAAAATTTCATTATTGAGTTCTTTCTTAATCCCTCTTATCTTGCCGAAGTTGGTAGTCACCAGTGGGTCTCCATCATCCAATTTTTGTGAGAGCACGTGAGCAGCCTGAAGCAAACAGCCCAACACACAAAGAGTCAATGAGGCACCCAATCCCCTGTGTACCAAGCATGCCATTACTGCTCTCCAAACATAAGCTGGCCACATGCATCTGGGCAGTGCCATGGTCCCACATCAGTTGTGTAGTTGTCTGGTTGCAGTGAGGCAAAGGTGTTTGTATCCACTTGAGAAAAACCGTATAACGGTAGAATACACCTCAGATTTCTCAAAGGCGAGCTTGTCAAGAAAAGCTCAGAAAGCTCTTCATGCAGCCAGTATCTCCCATTGATTTCACATGTATTGAAGTAGCATCTTCAATCATCGCTATTTATCAGGCCATATCCTATTGACCATTCTGTTTTCCATAGTAGCAACATAGTGAGAGTGGCCATTGACTGTACATTTCCCTCTTATAAATCAAATCCAGTTAGCTGCAGGTCTATATCCTAGAGAAAATGAAAATAAATCATTAGTACAAATAAGCTAAAATAGACAGAGTGATAACTAGATGTTTTACAAGCTACAGAAATACTTTTATAGTGGCTGGACTCAGGTGAGTTAAATACTACCATAGGAAAATTATGGTTTGATGTGAGATGACAGATGAAATCACTGATAATTAGAATATTGAGAAACTTGCCTCCAGGCTTTATACACACTTAATAGAAAGCAGGCCTTGTTAAAATGTACAGTTTCAGGAGCATTTCACAATATAGTTTTCTTAAAATACTGAAGGTTATGTGTGAAGTTTTCCCTTTATTGAAAGTCTTCAATCACTTTAAGGGACCACAGTATTAATCACCAAACATACTAAAAATTAGAATTCAGTAGCAGAAAAACTTTTTAAAAATATTGGTAGGGGGCTTTCTGGTGGCGCAATGGTTGAGAGTCCGCCTGCCAATGCAGGGGACACGGATTCGTGCCCCGGTACGGAAGGATCCCACATGCAGCGGAGCGGCTGGGCCCACGTGAGCCATGGCCGCTGAGCCTGCACGTCCGGAGCCTCTGCTCCGCAACGGGAGAGGCCACAACAGTGAGAGGCCCGCATACCGCAAAAAAAAAAAAAAAATATATATATATATATATATATAGGTAGGGAATTAGTGGAATATAAACAAACTTTTTAAGAATGACTATATATATTAAACAAACAAATAAAAGGATGGTTCCCCAATCCTGTGCTATATAGAAAAAACAAAGATTATGCTAGAACAAGAAAACCAATATTAGCTCAACTATGATCATTTACGTGCAACTACCTTATAAGGTCATTCACCTTAAATTAAGATTCAAGAATTTAAAAGACAAAATGCCTTTAGACACAACTTGAAAAAGAGACAGAAGTTGGCATCATTTTTTGCAGACTTTTTCTTTTTACCATCTAGCTAGCTATATATTTTAGATATCAGTAAATCTGCAACAGGAAAATTAACTTCTGAGTCAGTCAATATATTTTAAATTACAAATGTTCTCACTACCTGTTAAAGGTCAAAGGAACAACACAAAAAGAAGAGTGCGGCAGTTTCAAAGAGCAACCATACCTAATCATAGCGTTGCATACTGACATTAATCAAACATCTAACACTCTTTACCCAGTCCAACTTAGGATGCATCAGAATAAAATGTAACATTCAGTGCAATGCAATTCACAGTGTAATCTTGCGTTAACTGCAAAATAGCACACAACTGGACAAATCTGTCTTTTCTTGTTCAAGCAATGTTTTAAAGTGCATAGTTTGAAAATAACAGTGTTGATTTGTATTATAGATGGTTCTATCCTGTCATATTATGGGGAAGATTCCTGAAGAAGTGCTGGTCTGGCAGTGAGGCTGTCCTGACTTTATATTATTGAAAAGGAGATTGCAAAAACTATTTAGGGCAGCAGGAGATTTGGTTCAAGCCTGGTGTTCCTTTAGCTCTGAACAATTCATCACAGATGGCAATAAGATAAATGCCTTTCTTCAAGAATACTTGTCTGTGTTAATGCTCATACCTTTGTTGTGAAAGCACATTAACATACAAAAGACAGGCTTAGACCCATCCCATTTCTGTGCCAGAACTCTAGCATGTATTGAAGATTTAGCTACACAAACCCACTTCTGTTAAGAGTACATAATGCTCATTCTTGCACAGAATCGTGGTGGGCCACAGCATGACTCAGTCTTCCCTACTCACCTTTTGGTGTTAAAGAGCAGCATTTTGACACCTAAAATAGAGAACCTGTGGTGAGGACTTAAAAATTTCCATCACCATATTTTATTCAGCTTAATTTTCAAATACAGTGATTTCTAAAAATTCTTCTTTACATACTTGGTATCTCATCCAGAATAAAAAGTACTTGATTGGCATATGGACACCAAGGGGGGAAAGTGGGGTGGGGTGGTGGTGGTGGGATGAATTGGGAGATTGGGATTGACATATATACACTAACATGTATAAAACAGATGACTAATAAGAACGTGCTGTATAAAAAATAAATAAAATAAAATTTAAAAATTAAAAAAAAGTACTTGTTTGGTTACTAACAAAATAACGCTCATTTTTGTACTCACAAATCCTTAACTGTGTTAAAAATAAAAGGGCTGCTGTTTCCCACTTTAATGTGCTACTTTAACACAAACTGTGGAGGATGAGAATTCTGCATTCCATGGTAAATTTTCAAATTCTAATGGTTAGCTTTTAAGGTTACATAAATATCCCATTATACATGGGCTTACCTGTATAATTACAGTATCGACCCCAAATATTTTTCAGAGGTCACTGTTATAATAATAACAGTTGCCCAAGTTTAATGTAAAAATATGGCTTGTTTAAGTAACTGAAAATTTACATATATACGTATATATATGCCTAAATATAAAGACTCTCAAATTTGTTGGCAGGGTTTTTTTTTTTCCTATTTATTGGTGCTTTATTAGTACAGTATATGCCAAACCCTTAGTTTTTAGGCATTTACATCTCATTTACAACAACTCTAAAAACTAGCTTCAACAGTTATCTCCTTTTTACTTACAAGGAACTGAGACTTAGAGGTTAAGTGTCTTGGCCCAGGTCTCTCAGCTAAACAACAGCAGATCCAGGAGCCCACTGGCATCTAATTTAGAGGCCATCCCCTTGATCATTACACATGATACAGTCTCTCACTTCACAATGAACACTTTTTAAAAAACTGATCCTAGTGCATTTAAAATTGAATTGTAAAAGTGTTTTATGTTCCTTCAGAAGACAGAATGGAGGTAAATACTCTGACAATTTCATAGAAACAGAAATTTAAATGGTCTACCTTGTTCTTACTGGCACTTTAGATTTTGTTACCTTTTTTACCTTTTTTTACTTTACATTGAATGCAGTGATTGGGTATCTATATGTGTTTACGCAAGATCATGTTAAAATAATGAGTAACCCCAAAAAGCCCAACTTCATAATAGGATAAATGTCCATTAACAGATATTGATAAATGAATTAGGATATATTCACAAATTAGAATTCTATACTTCAGAGCAAATAAGAACCTAGACCTAAATATATCAGCAAGAATAAATCTCAGTATTTTTGAAAAAGATTAGATATAGTAAAATGCTATTTAAATAAAGCTTAAAATATGAAAAACAAAACTATATATTTTATTCACAGATGCATAAATATGTAATAACAGAATATTTGCTATCCATGGGTAGGGAGAAAAGGTATGAAATTAGTTCTAGCAATTAATGTTATTAATTGATTAATCGGAACTCTGAATGATAATCTGGGATGAGGCCTTAAAAGACCACAATTAACTACAGCAAGTTTTACAAATCTAAGATTTGATGGTGTTGGGTGACACACGCAAACACACACAAGCACACACATCTTTGTTATGGAATTCTCTGTATTTTTCTGTATGTTTGAAATATTTTATAATAAATACATTAAAATAATGAGGTCAGAAAAGCCTTATTCAGTAGTCCAGGCAAGTAGATGAGCTTATCAATCCACACAGGACTAGCTTTTTCTGACTTTGCAGTAGGTGGAGATACTAGCTCACAAATTCTTCCATTATTCTTCCCTTTGGGTTAAAGCATGTGCAATCCCACTGAGATAAATAAAACAAAAATAAATAACATTTAAAAAAACAAAATAGATGGGAATATATTACCTCCTTGCATTAATTTATCATAACACCTGGTCCATCAGCTAGTTTGTTCCTGAGTGACCCAGATCAAAGAGATGATGCTGGAGAGAGTAGAGAGAAATTTCTAGGACATTAAATAATCACAGTGGGTGGCCACATGCATCCAATTTTTCCTTCACTCAACAAACATTTATTGGATATCTATAACGTATAAGCTATTGTGCTAAATCCTATGAGAATTTAAAGATAAGTACAATCTAGTCATTATTCCCAAGCAGTTACAATATTGTAAAGATCTGAATTGACTACACGCTTATCACCAGAGCTGCATGGAGCTTGGCCAATGCTACACAACTGATGGTTGTTATTTACCATAGTTATGTTCTATAAAGTCACTGCAAACACTGAATTAGAGAATATGAATCCATTGCTCCGAGGGAAATGCATGTGTATACATACATGAATGTGTGCATGTGTATGTGCATATACACACAAACATATATTATATATACATATTTCACATAGTTACAAATTATCATCTTAAACCCTTAAAACAATTCATCCTAGTAGAGTCTATTTTCTTTATTTTACAAAAGAGAAAACAAAGTTCAGAAGTGTTTAGTGACTTGTCTGAGGCCACCTCACTGATAGATGCCAGAATTGGGATTCAAATCCCCTCCACCGGGCCCCAGAGCTGGAGCTTCTTTCACCATACTGCATTCTCTACCATCTCCATCCTCTGTTCATCTCTGCGTGAGAGCTGAAACCAGAAGTCACATCATCACCTTGCTCAACCTCAGCAGGAAGCACGCTCATGGGGTGACTCACATTTTTTGTTGCTTTGCTCATGTCTGTGAATGACTGCAAAAGCACCATGAGTATTGACTTTGGGGCTATGAATAAATTTTAGTGAACATGCAAATTTGCAATCCAGATCCAGAAATAAATGACTGACTGTATTAACTAAAGATAAATAATGTTTCATACCTATGAATCTATAAGTTGTTTTGAAGTCAGAACATAGCCTGGCAACAGCACTTAGTAATAATAATGGGATTTAAGAGTTGGATTTAGTAATAATAATTTAATAATAATTGCATTTAGTAATAACTGGATTCAGTGGAGTGTGGCAGTTTACAATGGCCAATGCTGGCCATGTAACTGAAATGTGCTTATGGGAACGGCTCACTGTAAGAGAACCTGACCACCAGCAGATTGTGGGCTTCCTATACCAAGATGTTTCACACGCACACTGTTGGTGGTTCAAGACCTGGAGACAAGGGGTATCCCGTGGGACCCAGGAACGGGAGAACAAAGAAGCCTGAGTCTGAG